GGGGGGGGGGCAGCAAGCAGAAAGAAAAACTTCTAGGTACACCCGTGAACACCTGAGCACACGCACACAGACCTCTGAGCACAAGCACGCGCTGGGGAACTGCGCACACAAGACTGGGCGCGCCGTGCTAACCCCGGGTTGGGGTCGGGTGGAGGAAGGGTGGGAGGAAGAGCGAAGTACAGACCTGGACGTGAGTGGGTGCAGGTCGGCCCTGCCTCCAATAAGCTGGTGGCCCACGTTTTTAACTCCTGAGGGGCTCCCTCCATCCCCATAAAGTGACGTAAAAACACCCCCAGTTCTGCCCTGTAAGGAGCCAGGAAAGTGACGGATGTGAAAGCCCTTTAGTAACTCTAAGCTGCTCTAGAGATGCAGGGAATATTAAGGTCTGCTGAGGATGGGATGCCCCTCCCTCACTCCAGGGGCTGCCCAGCTCCCATGCTCCCCACCCCCCAAAGTTCATCTCTCATCTATCCCATTCCATCTTTATACTTTCCAAGGTGAAAACTCCATAACCTGGTAAACTGATCCCACTGGATGGGCTAATGTGATAAGCTGGAGGATCATGTTCCTGGACCTCTGCCCCCTCCCACACACACACACATACCCAAACCAAGGGCTAAAGGGTTGAGAGTCATCTCTTGAATTATAGGCCCAGGTAGGCCAATAAGTAACTGACAAGTCACTCAACCTTTTTTTTTTTTTTTAAGGAAGATTAGCCCTGAGCTAACATCTGTTGCCAATCCTCCTCTTTTTTGCTGAGGAAGATTGGCCCTGGGCTAACATCCATGTCCATCTTCCTCTACTTTATACGGGATGCTGCCACAGCATGGCTTGACAAGTGCTGCATATGTCCGGGCCCAGGGTCCAAACCTGTGAACCCCTGGCTGCCAAAGCAGAAGGTGCAAACTCAACACCTACGCCACCAGGCTGGCCCCAACATTTTTCTTTTTAATAGGACTTCTCATTTCTGATTTTTGGGTTTTTTTGTTTTATTTTTAGGATTTTTTTTTTTTTTGAGGAACATTGGCCCTGCACTAACATCTGTTGCCAAGCTTCCTCTTTTTCTTTTTTCTCCCCAAAGCCCCAGTACATGGTCGTGTATCATAACTGCAGAGTTGTAGCTCCTCTATGTGGGACGCCACCTCAGCATGGCGTGATGAGCGGTGAGTAGGTCCACGCCCAGGATCCCAACCACCGAACCCCGGGCCGCTGAAGCGGAACGCGGAAACTTAACCGCCATGCCACCGGGCCGGCCCCTGATTTTTGAAACTGCTAACCCACTGTGCATCTCACAAAGCTGAGGTTAAGGTGGAATATGCTCATTGTGGCAAAGCACCTCAAAAAGTTAAAGGTGTTGGAGGAAAAAGTCACTAGTGGCGGAAGGGAGATGCAATCACACTCTAATCCCTCGCCTTTCACCAGAAGCCTTGCCTTCTGCCACCAGAAACTCTTGGATTGGTCCAACATTCACCCACTTTCCAGTTCCCTCAACCAATCAGAATGGAAAGTTTCCTGAAGTTCCAACCTCTCATGTCCAAGCCACTCAGAAACAAGATGTCAGCTTAAGTCCCGCCTCCAGACAGCTCACTGGGCCAATGGAAAGCCATCTGGTTCCAAAATCACTATGCTCAGACTTCTTCCAACCTCACTTCCCTGGAACATAGTAATTTGAAGAGTGATTAATCTCCTGGCTGCCCCTCCCAGCAAGAGAGAACAAGAGGCTTTCAGCATCCTCAAGTGCTCTGAGGATGCAGGGAGGTGGGCTCTCTTCCCGTGCTACTGTACTTTGAAGTGGCCAAGGTCAAGGCCAGTGGGGACTGGGAGAGTGATCTGCTGGTTGAGGGGTGAGAGCCCTGGCTTCCCAGGCCTGGGTTCCAGGGCCTCCCTGTACCCCCTACTGTGGGTCACGTCATGTGAGCCACAGAACCACCTACAATGTTTACAAAGCACTTTGGCTTAACTCGCAGACACTATAGGGTGAGTAGGATTGTTTAGTCACTTTACAAATGCAGAAAGAGGGTTCTGAGAGGTTCCATGACTTGGGCTACGTCCCACAGCTGGAAAGGGACACTGTCAGATCCTCTGAAAGCAAACTCAGACCCTACTGCCCGCTCACCTTCAGAGGTCAAATGCACCTTGTGAAAGTACTTTGCAAACTATAAAGCATGAACAGAATGTCAGTGCTGTTAATGCTGGAGACTTCCTTTAGTCACTCTGAATTTTGCGAACAATGTTTTGTACTTTGGGTCCTGAGTATTGGCTTTGATCCTCATGCTGGGCTTGTTTATTTGGGCCTTTTATTTGAGACAACCTATTGTAGGTCTTCTCTCTAGGCCAGGTATGCTTTACCGTCAGCAGGGTGGTACAGCTGATCCCTGTCATTTCGGTGGGGCCCCCTCTCTGCTGCAGTGCCTTTCCAGCCCCCTCTTCCTCTCCCACCCCTCCCCAACAATGGACCACCTTGGATCTTCTTCCCTGGCCTTCTCAACACCTCAGCATCCTGGAATTCTGGTGACCAAGACTTCCTCCTCCAGATTTTTGGGTTTTGAGCATTCTCCTCTCTGACCCCTCTTCTTCCTCTGGCTCTGGAGCTGTGAGACCATGACTGAGTCTCCTGCCCCATCCCTGATACAGCAACCCCTCTATCTGGGCAATTCCCTAATCTACGGGTCCAGTCTTGACTTTCCAGGCTCTCTCCAGCTGTCTGTGGAGCATCTGCTCTTGGACAAGAGCAGTCAAGTCAAAGATGCGAAAGTGCTGTACAGGAACTTAGCCGGATGCCTCAGCTGCTTTACGTTGGACAACCTTCACCACCAGCTCGTTTTGCAGATAAGCAAGGAGACCAAAGATCAAAGGGCCAAGTACCTGACCCAAAGTCACAGAGCTGGTGAGTGCCTAAAAGCCTTACTCAGAATTAGAGCACTGAAAAGAATCATCCAGATCACTCCAGAAGGCAAGATATCACAGATGGCAAACACTCACTGGTGACTCACAGTCTTCTCACTTGTAAAGAAGGCATAGCACCTAACTTCTAGTAACGATTGAAGAAGATAATGTATGTAACGTGCCTGGCACAGCATAGAAATTCAGTTAACGG